GGTGAGTTTGAGCATCAGACTTTGGAACATACTGGAGTTAATTCTTTTTAAGTATTTATGTAAAAATACATGTAAAGGTGCAAAATTCCCTAAAGCTCAGTATCATGAAAACATCCTCTCATTACATCATTCTGAGAAGCGTACATTACTCACAGGGCAAGGTAGACCCTGGACACAGCACTACATTTCATCCTCCATGGTACTTGCTTTTAAAGCTTGCCCAGTGGCAAGAATATTGGGAATTTATTAAATTTTCTATGCTATTATGGTCACATTAAATACTTTACTGCTGCAGAACTTTAAAGAATTAATCTTCCCTAAGCACTTTGCCTCTGTCAGGGAATACTTTGGTCATTAGTGAAAATGTTTTTATTCTTACACAAAGATGGTGTGATAGATGTTTGAACGTGTAGCCAGTGTCTAGAATATATTTCACTTACTGCCCTTCCTCATAAATTTAGAGATACTATAGGTATTTTAAATCACTGTTTCCTCTGTTGATACTGTATTATGGCATTTAAAATTTAAGAAATGTGATTAATAGCATCTTCTGTTGCATATTTCTCTTTTAAAATACACTCTGCTTTGATGCACAAAATAATGAAAAAAAGTTCTTAGACCTAAATAATATGTTGCAACTGCTGATGGCATGTACCTATGCACAAAATCTTTTCCATTTATTAATTTGAAGAACAGAGGCCCACTTTTTAAGATACTCGTGGAACTTTGATTATTAAATGACATTAAGTTGTTTTTTTTTTTTTTTTGGAGAGGTTTTCGGTATAAGGCGTGTGCACTCGCCAGACAGACAGAGACAGACAGAGAGCGAGAAATCACCCCCCAGGGGGGATGGTCATGCCGCAATCCCTTCTCCTCCATTCTCCTCTAGGGATCTTGGGTACGCACACACATGCGCCCAGCGTGAATTTTAAGCCACCGGGTCCAGGATGCGAACCACGGTCGACTACGTGGGAGTTCAGTGTGGGACAGAATGAAGCTCATTGGCTTCTGTGTGGGTTGGTTCTGAAGCCTTAGCCTCTAAAACAATTTAGCCAAACACCCTACATTCTGCTAGTGAGAATTGAGTCTACAATTAGGAACTTTCTGAGAGGTGATTATAAACAAGGAGGCTTCTAAAACAGATTTCTTCATGATTTTACTCTCTGTTCACAGATTAGCCCAAGGGAACCAACCAATTTTTTTTCTTTCTTTATTAGATATGAAGAAAAATGATAATAATAAATAAAATTTTTAAAAGAAAAAACAAGTCTAAGGCTCTCTCTGTTAAGATACAAAAATGCTCTACATAGACATAGTAAAAGAAGCCTAACTCTTTGACCTTTGTACCACCACACCTTCTAATGTTAAGGTGTAGAATTAAAGGAATACCCAAGGCTCACTCAGGACTGATGGGGAAAGGAGGGTAAACAGAGGCATCTATCTGTGTACCCTGAGTAGAAATCAGCTATTCATTCGAAAAGTGAAGTGAAAGCAGAGGAAGTCAGCACCTCTCTGCCCTGTAATGTGGACTCCTTCCCCTGTGCCTTCAGAGAGGTTAAGGAAAAGTTATATCTGACTAGATGTCCTTTTAAAAGTTTAATTTTGAAAGGTTTCTGTGTGGACTGCAAAAAAGGACAGAATCATCGTTCATTATGCCAAATGGCATAGACTCATTTACAGGGATGACATTATAGTTTTTATATAGTATAGCTTCTATGATTAAAGAGTTCTAAATGACATTTCCCCTTTGGGGACAAGGCTTTCCTAGGAAAAAAAATCCGATTAATTCCTTTCCTACTTAGGTTAAAGTCAATACTAAAAGACTTCTTATGGGAATAAATGACTTTGATTTTTCTCTCTAGAAACCAAGTTCTGTCCGCATTGATCAACTGGATCGTGAACAGTTCAACCCTGATGTGATTACTTTCCCAATTATTGTCCACTTTGGGATACGCCCTGCACAGTTGAGTTATGCAGGAGACCCACAGTAAGCTATTTCTTGGTGTTTGTCTTAGCCAATTTCACCTTCTACTAACAGCTGAATTAGCAGAGGAATACCCGTTAGTGGATGTTTTTCCTCTTTAAAAGTGAAGATCTGAAATGAACCATGTTTCCAAATTTAGTTAACCAAATAAAATGCATTTTGGTAGCTCCTAAAGAATTATTTTCTCTGCATTGGACTGCAGGAAATTATTATTCAGTAGATTATCCTTGATATTCTTGGTCAACATGAGTCCTATGTTTTTAAACATTAAGGAACTTTCCCCTTGTTCATCATTATTTTATGTTAATTATTGTTGCTATTTTTTATTTTTTCAGTGCCCTCTAGGGGAGAATAGCACCACCGTATTGGTTCCTAGCACTGATGAACTGATGCAGAGTTCTGTTTTTGGGGGCATCTTAATAAGAGCTCAAGATCCCATGCAAAGTCCAGAGTTGTGTTGGAAGAAGGAGCATGACTTCTCACTCTAGAATTGATGTTACTTTTCACATTTAGGTTTTTCCAAGTGGCATGTTAGTTTATTTTTTTTCTGGGAGAAGATGAGGAGGTGTGGGAATGGAGATAGTACCATTATATTCTTCAGGAAGTGTTTGGATTTCCTACTTTGTTAAACAGTTTCCTGACTCAATTTATTATTTTTTTTTTTAAGAAAAAAAAAAAAGGATTCATAATGGGAGAAAAGGGCACGGGAGATTTTCAGTCATAAATACAGTTCGTATATTAGAAGAGGCTAAAGGGTTTTGTTCTTTTTTTCCCCCCTTTGGATAAAAGTATGAAGCAGTGAACCAGGCACTGTGTAAGTACTTCTTTCTTTCCTCCATTCCCTAAAAAATGTTGTCCCAAGTGGAGAGGCCCAGCTAAAGCCATGAAAGGAACAGTTCAATATGACAGCAAATCTTCTGAAAAAAATCCCTTCTTGTCAGAAAAATGTTAGTAGAATGTGATTAGGCTCTCGTCACCTCTCAGGTGGCAGGATTGTGATTTCATGAAGGACTGTACATTCTCTCCATTCCCAGGAAGCTGTGACAGTGTCCTGTACTAGCATCATGATCTAGCCAGCTGAGCTACTCGGCCAGTTAGCCATGTCCTTGAGGCTGATCCAGGTTATCACACATTTGCCTATAGAAAATATGTTAGCGTAAATACAAATAGGTATATACCATTTGTCTGCTCTCCTCGCCAGTGAAAAAATGGGTATAACTGCATAGCTTGAGTTTTTGCAAAAATAAGGTTCTCTCTTGTAATACAGGGAACTTTTACTTTGGGTATAGGCAGCTCAGAGACCTACGATATCCCTTTAAGGAAGGGATTTTTCTTTGAAGTGGAACGTACACATTTAAGTAGAAGCTGTCATTTCCAAAGAGGTAACAGTAGCAAACATGTTAACTATTTAACATTGGAAGTATTTTTATGTGTCATCTTTGGAATTCTTTCCAGAGATTCATCTGTGTAGTCATACATTATTTTCAACCCAAACAAGCAATAATCAGTCACCAGGTACCAGATGACTCTTGGCCATCCTGTCCCTCAACCTCAAGATCATGTCCTTCTGTAGAATGAAGGTGCTGCCATTAAGGATATTCACAACTATGTAATTTAAGATTGAGCAGGCGAATTGCAGAGCTGATTTTTACTGTACTTTAGATTCTTCTTCTCTTTTTCTAAGATGTCTGTCCTTTTCCTTAGGTATCAGAAACTGTGGAAGAGTTATGTGAAACTTCGCCACCTCCTAGCAAATAGTCCCAAAGTCAAACAAACTGACAAGCAAAAGCTGGCACAGAGGGAGGTCGGTATTGAACCTTGTTTATGATGATTAATGATGATATGCTTCAAGTTTACTTCAGTATTGTTGTACACTATGCTTCTAGAATAAAGTGGAAGAATACTTAAGGAAAAAACTGTACTTTCCCCATGAGTATACTAATCATAAATATACTAATTGATTTTCTTTTTTTTTTGTTTGTTTCTTAATATCTAAGGGAGCATTTTTACCTCTAAGAAGACCAGTTTTCTTGATGAATTATTACCAATGGGAATCAAGGAATATCTTGTAGAAATTATAGTTTAAAATTGACTAAATCAGGCTTTTCTCTTTAATTAGACCATACATTATGCAGCACTGGATCTTACTCAGATTTCTTGGTCTTAAGGTTGTAAAAGATTGTCTTCCATAGTACCATCAGTGTATTAGGGTGAGCTAATTTGTAAAGTCTTCCATCTCAAATTCCACATTTTTTTATTAATGAGTATGATTATCCCCATTATTCCAGGATCATTTATGGTTTAGTTTTAACTGTAAGAATAAATGAGTTCAGTACTAACATAGGCTTTGTCCCGGTGAGGTTTTATTTTGCTTTGGTAGCATAAGAGCAAAGCTTTGAAGCTAGGATGAGCCAGTCCTCCACTCTATAGTGGAGGGAGCTGCGGCCCAGAGGCTGCCTGCGCTGTCTCTCCGTTGGTGTACCCAGGGAACAGGGTAGCTGGGGTGGACTTCAGAAGGTACTCCATCTGACGTTCTTCTCATGGTATTAGGCCTTAATCGATGGCGAGGATGGTGATAGTGGTGTTTGCTGTTGTTATTGTGAATTTCCATGAGTTTTTAATGGAATGGTTTGCATATAAATATTAAATTTTTTTTTATAATTATTTGAAGGACAGTGAAAGGGAAGAGTTCATTCCTGGTTTTTTCTCATAGGTTAAGTTTTGGATGATGATTGTATTTTTCAATAAGACATACTGTTCACACAAGTTTTTGTAAAGGTTTGCAAATTAGAGGACAACTAATAGAATTATGTGGGTTGCAGGTTAATTAACTGATTTTCCTAGATGCAAATATAAGGCTTGATATAAATGTAATTTTTACATGCCAGTTCAAATTTCAGATACCTCCTTTTGTTTATCACTGAAAAGGCATGTTTTGTTTGAATACACCAGAATGGTAGAATTTGGTTTAGAATTTTTTTCTTAATCCGTTAGAGTTACAGGAAAGCACACTTGATTCCTAAGGCTTCTGGCATACAGCCTTTATTTCAAATAAAATATTGTAATTTTGCAAAAGAGCGTTTGAGTACCTGAACGTAAGGGTAGTACCAAATGACCCCAGCTTATTTTCTAAGGCTTTGAAACTGTCATGTCACTCATAATAAGTTCTTTTCTAGGAAGCACTCCAAAAAATACGACAGAAGAATACAATGAGGCGGGAGGTAACCGTGGAGCTAAGTAGCCAGGGATTCTGGAAAACCGGCATCCGTTCTGATGTCTGCCAGGTGATGATACTTCTGAGAATGCTTTGTATGTTCATACATGTCTTCCTCCAAAAGGCATTTGTACTTAAGTTTCCAAATAAGGGTCCAAAAGAATATGTTATTTTGAAGCTGAATGAAACACCAACCGTAAACTACTTTTTTTTTTTTCTCATCACTAATTTTGTATTGTATAATTTCTTGCTTACATTGGATTTTTGTTTCTGTTGTCTGTCTGGTGCTATTTTGTGTGTAGGGGGGAAGATTCAGTTAAGTGGAAGGAGGAGGAACTGACTTTACTAAGTCAGTTAAATTTAGTGTTTTTACTTTGAATGAAGACAAGACTACCCTCAAATGCACCTGCCTGTTTGCAGTACATGTGCAGGTCCTTGTGCTAAAGAGATCATCTAGCACCTATACAAGCAGACTTTCTAGACTGATGACTCAAATATATATTGTGATTTATGTTGTAGGAAACTGACGGCATTAATGAAGGGAATCAGTAGACATTACATGTAACCTAATAGCAGTATTTTAATCTTTTTGGTGAACTCAGTAGCTATGTATAACGGACTCACTGATCAGTATTTTAGTTTCTGCTATGGGTGGAATTTATACCCCCAAACCAGCATATGCTTTGGTTTGTTACTTGATTCTTTTGTCATGATGTATATTGGTTGCATTCCTAGGGAGTTACAGTAAAGGAAATTAGCACACAGGCTGAGGTCAGGTAATGCAATTTATTACATTCAACCTTTTGGAAGAGTACTTTCAGATTTGCGTTTATCTGTTTTAATGTTGCATGTGCTATAATAAGTTCAGGCAACTTACTCTTAAGTGTTCATTTTATCATAATGAAATTTTTAGAAGAAAATCAGTGTTGACATTTAATTATTATATCGAACATCAGGGTTTAGTCCTATAATTAAATAAGTATTGCTACACAATTCATTTGCTAAGTGTTATCTAAAGTCAGATATTTTGGCTTTAAGGTGGCCTGTTGGTGCAGTATTGCTAAGTAGTTTGAAAATGATCATCTATGGGGGTAGCCAGCTACACCCATCAAGTACCTAGTTAACTTCTTGCCACCAATGTTTTTTTACTGTCAGTATTTTCAGATGCGAATGTTTTCCTTCTGTGGATTCTTTCTCGGGGTCATATAAATCATATCACTCAGTTTATTTGTTCGCTAGTGTTTCTTCAAAACCAACATAATATCCTGAAGCAGACATCACAAGAACAGTGAGCAGACTGCTGGGTAATGTGCTCAAAATCTGGTGATTCGGTGATAAGTCAGTTGATTGCTTAAGAGACCATAAAATTGAGCAGGATTAAGAAGTAGAAGGAACCAGCCTTCTAGTTCATTGGCTTTTGGTTAACTTCCAGTATTTTTTTCATATAGATCTCTTCTTGAGTCAGTCCTTATTTGTAAAAAGATAAAAAAAATAACTGGCTGGTAGGTGACGGGTGTGGAGGGAATAGCCTGTTTTACTTTCTCCCCTGTCCTTCAGGCAGTTCTGTTTCTCTAAACGCAATGTGTTCTGTTGTTGTTGTTTTGTTTTTGTTTTACCTTTCTTTTGATAAAAACAAACGAGTGCTGAATGGTCAGTTCCAATACAATTTTGTGTTTTCCAGCTATACCACAGATATGTTACTCTGCCTCCTCAGTCAGATTAGAACTAACTCGTGGACTAGGTTATATTATCATCTCTCTCTGTGTGTGTATATATATATGTATATATTTAAAGAATCATTTCATTTTATTTATTGTCATTATTTTATTTTTTTGAAGTTGACCAGAGAGAGAGAAGGAAAGTGATACAGCAAGTTGCCAGGTCTGGAACTTGAATCATTGTCAGCATATGGGAGTCCAGCCACCTTTACCACCACGCCACCTGCCGGCCCCTGTATCTATACTATTGATACAATCTTTCTTGAGGTTGATAGGCAGAAGGACTCAATTCTTGTGACTAATTGGCAAGAGTGTATAGGTCCTGATTAAACTCTTGCAAAGGAAAACGATCTAATATTAGTTCCTGTCCCTGTCTGACTCTCAGTCTTCCGAAGGGAACTGCCATTCTGTTTAGAACTCTTGCTTCCATTCTCTGGCCCTCCTAATGGAAGTCTTTTTAAGATTTCAGTAAAATTACCCTCACATATAAATGACTTGATAAAGAATGTAAATTGCTGCCTATGAGTTCATATACTGAATACAGAGGAATTGCTTTATGGTTTGTTAAAAAAAAAAAAAGGAAAGAAATATGCCTGCATATAAATGAATGAAAATGAGCCAGCCAGCTACCTGAGAAGTCAATGGAAGCTGAAGAGAAAGAAATGTTAGCATACTGACAATGCAGGGGCCAGGAACTGAGTTTTAAAAACAGAAAGAAAACCAAAGTCCCTGTGCTTTGGTGGAGTAGTTCTTTATGCACCCAAATCAAATCATTCTGGAGGGATCCTGTAGTTGTCAACTTAGGTGAACAGATGAAGTATCTGTTTATTTTAACATATTAAATATGATTTTAATATTGTTGAATATTCTTGGAATTATTAAAGTAAATTGTTACCTGCACTAAGCTTAAAACATCAACATGTAGAAATGCTACCTCAAGAAAATTTGAGGGTGTTACTGATCAACTCATTCATTTTACAGGAGTAACCTAGTTTAATTTTTAAATACAACTGAAAGTAAGGTGAAAATATGTTGAGAATGACAAGGATAAATTAAGTTAATTGACTTTTGGCTCAAAACGATTTTTTTTAATTGCCAGAGGCACATATGCTCACCAGAGAGAGAGAGCAAGAGAGAAAGGGAGAAAGAGGGAGAAAGCACCCTCCCGAGGGGGTGTGGTCATACTGCAACCCCTTCTCTCTTTCTTTATCTTGTCAGGATTTTTGACACGTTTGCATACATGTCTGCCAGGGCTGGGATTTGAAGGGTGGTGGACTTGTGGTATCTGACTCTGTCAACCACTAAGCCACAAGACTGGCCTGCAAAATGAGTAATTTTGCAATGAATATTTTTATTATATTTCTTTGTACAATTCATTATTCTAGCATAGGCTTAAGATATAATTTTTTTTTTAATAAATGCAGGAGTAGATCTCATGACTGTGTAAGCCATGGGCTCCACAGTGAAAATTGTTAATCCTTCTCTCTTTTGGTGCCAGGCATTTAAAACTCATGCTTCTTGTCACGTAACGATCTCTTGGGCTGTCTTACTGCATATCAAAGGTCAGAAAACCTTTCTACTGATACTACTTTCAGAAAACCTTTGATAAATGTAGAACTTCTTTAACTCAAAATATTTTATCTCTTCCTGGAATTTTTATGTTTTAAAATTCTCAAGTGATGGTTTTTTTTTTTTTTTTTCCTTTTAAGTTCGCTGCAAGGCCATACATTTGATGGAGGTGTTTGTGGGGAGGGAAGAGATAGAAAATGAGAAATTACTTCCCAGGGGGGATAACCATGCCATAATCCCTTCTCCGTTCCCCTCCCGGGATTTTAGGCACACAAACACATGTGCCTGGCATGATTTTAGAGTCACCAGGTCCAGGAATCAAACTGGTTGGTCATATGTGAATCCAGCACCTTATAACCACCATGTCACCTGCTGGCTCCATATTTATTTTTTTCCTCATATCTCTTTTTGCTTTTAGGATAGCATTTGTATTTCTTTGAATGGTTACCTTAAACTAATACCTTAATATTGGATCATCGGAAAAGTCATCTTGTATTTTTTATATATTTTTCTATGCAAAAATGTGCCATGACTTTTTTGTTGGCCCAATAGTATAATCTTCTCCCTTGCCTCCCTCTCTTTGTGTGTGTGTATCTTATTGTCTATTATTGAATATAGCTATCTACTTCCTCTTGTTCAACATCTGATTGGAAATTATATTCTTTTACTACAAATTAATACTTATATGGTATATGGCAATCTCATCTTACTCTTGTGTACTTCTTAGTCTTCTCTCATTTTCTGATGGCTGTACTAATTGGTGTTACATTGGTATAATTACTATATAAATTGGTATATAACAAGACTGTATATAGTATTTTTATAGTACTGAATCACTTATTATCCTCAAGTAATCATATATTTGAAAGCAATCACCAGTTTATATGGCATACCTGCCCTCCCCGCTTGTTTGTTTGAAGCTTATTTTTTACGTTTCTCAAGAAGTGCTTATGGAAACCATAGTTCTTGAGTTTCTGCTTCTTCCTAACAGTTTGTGGCCTTTATGTTAAAGGTCTGTTTAGCTGGATATAAAATCTGCAGGTCACATTGTGTTTACTTTCTTAAATATGATTTCATTGTTTGTGGCATAAAGCATTGCTGTAAAAAATATGAGAACAAGGGAACAGCAGATGGCGTAATGGTTACATCGCTGGGATCCCACATGGCTGACCGTGGTTCAAATCCTGAACTCAGAAGGTTGAAACATATGCTGGACACGTGTGCGTGTGTACCCAAAATCCTGAGCAAAGGGACTGCAGCATGGCCGTCCCCCAGGAGGTGATTTCTTGCTTTCTGTCTCTCTTTCTGTCTCTTTCCGGCATGTGCCCATGCTCTATGGCAAAAATCTCTCAAAATGAAAAAAGTGATAACAATATGAGTTTTGTAAGTGACTTGATCCTTTTCTCAGAATTGCCGTAAGATTTTTTTCTTTAAAACCAATAGTTTTATTAGAATATTTCTTAGCTTTTTCCAGTTAATTTTTTTAAACATGTTGTGTGCCTTTTCTTAAAAATTTTACTCTTCTTTATTCATTATAAGATGCACATGTGAGAGAGAAAAAGAGATGAGTACTTTCCACAGAATCTGTCAATACCACAATCCCCTTCTTCCAGTCCTCCAGTTGCTTGAGTTTTGGGCATTTGGATATATGCTCAACATGTTTCAGACTGACCAGGCTGGGGATTTGAACTGTGGTTGTCATGTGGATTCTGGCTTCTTGGCTTCTCTTGGAGAGCACATAACTACTGTAACATAAAACCCATCCCTCTCTTGTTTTGTTGTCAAGACAAGATATTTCCGTGTTACAATCCTCCCTCAGTCTCTCTCAGCTGGGGTTACAGGAACAGCTACCATGGCTGAAATCTTTTTTTTTTCTTTCCTTTTTTTTTTTTAAGGTTTTGCTATAGGGCACATGCTCACCAGAGAGACAGAAAGCAAGAAATCACCCCACACCACAATCCCCTCTCCTCCATTCTCCTCTCAGGATTTTGGGCATGCACACACATTTGCCTGGCATGAGTTTTAAGCCATTGGCGTCCAGGACTCCAACTGTAGTCAGCTACATGGAAGTCCAGCAATATAACCATTACACCATCTGCTGGTCCCAACATTTTTTTTTCCTTAAAGACAAGAGTCTTACAGGGACCAGCAGGTGATGTGGTGGTTATGGCACTGGACACCCCCACATGGCCAACTATGGTTCAAGTCTGGACCTTTCTTTTTAATGTTATTTGTTTGATATAGGGCATGTGCAGGCCAGAGAACAACAGAGACAGAAAGAAGGGGAGGGAAAGTAAGAAAGCACCCCCCCACACACACACACACACATACAAACAGGGCGATGGCCACACAGCAACCCCGTCTGTTTTATTACCTCTCAGGATTTTGGGCATGCATGTACACACACCTGGAGAAACCGCAAAGCTCATTGTCTTAACCTCCTGTTATTTAGTGGTTCATGGGGATTTCTTGTCATCCAGTTTTTACAGAGATATTATTCATGATATTTTCATTTTGCTAGTCTAATCGTTCTGTTTTTATGGGAGAATTTAAGAATATTTAAAAACTACACAGTGCCATTTTCTCATAATCTTCGAAAGGAGATTGTTCTTATATTTTTAAAAGAATTATTTATTTAATTTTATTTATTGTTACTCTTCAATTTGACAAGAGAGAGAGAAAGGGAGAATGAGAAAGCAAGCCACCAGGCCCAGGACTTGAACCACAGTTGGCCATGTGGAGATTCGAACACCTTAACCACTGTGCCACCTGCTGGCTCCACATTGTTTTTAGTTTATTATAGAGCACATGTACTTGCCGAAGGGAAAAAGAGAGAGGATGTGAGAAGACACTCTCCAAGAGAGATGGCCATGCTGTAATCCCTCTTGTTCCATTCTCCTCTTGGTATTTTGGGCACACACACACACACACACACACAAACATGTGCCTGGTGTGATTTTCAAACTGCCAGGTGTGGAACTCAGATTACCAAGTCAGCCATGGGGATCCAGCCTCTTTGACCTCCACACCGGCCCTGTTTGTTTGTTTTTAAATGATAGCAGCTATCAGCAATAGTTGGGAGGAAAAACAAAGATGCTTAATTGTATTTCAACACTGCAGAGATTGATAATTTTGAAAACTGATTGTACCAGTTTTATAGGTGGCATTGAGACTTGGCTGTCTGGGATTTAAGATGGATATTAGTCATATCTATATCTGGTACTCACAAGAAACAGACTTATTTGGAAAGAAATTGACTGTATTTGGAGCAAATTAAGAAGTGGTAAAGGGGCTTAAATTTGATTCACATGAGAAGAACACACACACACACACACAAACATGTGCCTGGTGTGATTTTCAAACTGCCAGGTGTGGAACTCAGATTACCAAGTCAGCCATGGGGATCCAGCCTCTTTGACCTCCACACCGGCCCTGTTTGTTTGTTTTTAAATGATAGCAGCTATCAGCAATAGTTGGGAGGAAAAACAAAGATGCTTAATTGTATTTCAACACTGCAGAGATTGATAATTTTGAAAACTGATTGTACCAGTTTTATAGGTGGCATTGAGACTTGGCTGTCTGGGATTTAAGATGGATATTAGTCATATCTATATCTGGTACTCACAAGAAACAGACTTATTTGGAAAGAAATTGACTGTATTTGGAGCAAATTAAGAAGTGGTAAAGGGGCTTAAATTTGATTCACATGAGAAGAGGTTAAAGGAAATATGTTAGCTAAGAGAAAATACGGGAATTGAGCCATTAAATATATTGTTTGTTTCCAGGGCTAGAGCTACAATCAAAGGTATAAAACTCTAAGGAAACAGATTTGGGCTTAAAGTCAATAGTAATTTTCTAATAATCAGTAAACTCTAAAGAGGATGTTATTGTTTTGACAGGTAACAGTTCTTCTCTCACAGGAGATATTAAAAAGTAAAGAGTTCACCAGGTTGAGCTCAAAGTTTAGAAAGACGGTTTTACTGACAGTCTTCATGTCCTATCTCTTCTGAGTTTTTAGCATCCACTTCCATGGGCTTCCTGCAATACAAGTGGCTGGAAAACTGTTCTACCCTTTGGTTGCACACTTTATTTCCGTACACTTGTGCTTTTAAATACAGCACTTGTGAAAACAGTAGACAGTGTGCCAATATTTTCTCTCTAGGAAGTCCTTGATGGAAAAAACAGAGTCTTCTTTGTACCTTCCAGCAGTATTGTAAGGCCATGCACGTGGAGGTGCTCAATATGTATTTACTGAATTGAACTGGCAAGAAAGACTTCCCGTTGATTAGAGATCCTATTTGGTAGAACTAATCTTTCTTTATAATACGGGGAACTGATTTCTGTAGTTTCAAGCAAATCCATTTGCATGTATTTTTAAACAATGCCAGCTTAAAATACTTCAAAGACTGCAGTGATATAAAGCATATGTCAATCATCCTGTGGGCTGTGCCCATCCTCCAAGTTCTAATGAATAAGAATGACTCCTTCATTCTTTTGAGTTCTAGGGAAACATTATTAAAGAAAAGAAAAAGAGATGCCTTCCATGAAATCCTGTCCTGATAAGGAATCTAGCCAAATCAAAAGTGATTGAAGCAAAAATATGGGTTCTTTGTCCTTGAGTCCTTAACTGTATTGGTGGTTTTGTGAAAGTTGTCTCTGGAATGAATGGTAGATCATGAATGTTAAAGCTCCAGTGGTCTTTGGAGATCATCTCACTGAGAAGTTCTTATTACCTGAAGGATAGGAATGGGCTTTAGGGGTTTGTGAACCCATTAAAATTGTGTATTCCTTTTGCATGTTTGTGCACATGGACATTTTAAGGGAAGAAAAGTCATTTTGGGGGCTGGCAGGTGGTATGATGGTTAAAGGCGCTGGATTCCCACATGCCGACCATGGTTCTAGTCCTGGATCTGGCAGCTTGCTTTCTCACTTTCCCTTTCTCTCTCTGTCTGTCTCTCTCTGGTCAAATTAAAATAATAATTAAGATGATGATGATGATAACCCATGGAATTAATTAAATAAATAATTCTTTTTTTTAAAAAAAGAGCTGCTTTCATATTCTCAGCAGTGTCTTGTCCTTAAAAAAAAAATTCTAAAAAATTCTAATCCAGTCTTTTATAGTTAAAGATAGACAAAGACACACAGAAATTCATGTGACTGCTTGAGGCTACCCAGCTGAATACTGATAAAACCAGTGCTGTTCAGATTTGAATTAGGACTAAGGCTTCATTTTAAGTACATTCTGTATTTGCTCTTTTAATCCTTTTAACTACCCTTGGATATAGCTACACTTTTTTATCCCCAGTTTATAGGTGAGGCAGAGAGGTAAAATAATTTGGCACCAAGTGACAAAATGAATGGAATGGGAGATCAGGATTTGAACCCAGGCATTCTGGTTCTAGAGACTACTCTTAACATTTATAGTACACTGTTCCTCCTAAGAAGACTCTCTAGGATGCCACATGGCCAGTAAACTCTTTCAGGACTTTGTGGGGTGGCATTTGGGATGAAATGGTTCTTGTTTGTGGTAAAATAAGTGTGTATAAGCTTTTATAGAGCTAAGCACATTGAAAAATTTTTTTTCTAGCATGCCATGATGCTGCCTGTTTTGACCCATCATATCCGCTACCACCAATGCCTAATGCATCTGGACAAGCTGATAGGATATACTTTCCAAGATCGTTGTCTGTTACAGGTGAGAATTACTCTCTTGTAAACTCATGTAATAATAAGAGAGGAGTAATTCATCTTGCAGATTACCAATGTTGCATTGAATTCTCTATTCTAGGAGATGGAAGGAATTTTTGGAAACATAACTCTCTCCATTATTCTACCCTGGCTGCCCTTGCCACTTTCAAACCCTTTCTCTCACATTTTTTGAGTCCATTCGTAAAGAAAGAGGCTAAAGCTAAAATTTGCCTGTCATAACTGGGGACCGTCTTTCAAAAGGCTTTTATATCTTTATGGCTCTTCTTTCTGGGTGGCAAGTATTTTTAATTCTCCTCTGAAAGATGTGGATTTTCAGATGTTTTTCAGAAAAGGGATTGTACTAGAGCTCTAGAAATTAGATATTCAAGAAGATAAGATGGAACAATCAGGGCTTAAAATTTGACTGTTTAGACAGTTTCCTTTCCTTTTTCATTTGGGATGATATAAAGGTGGTACTTCTGTACTGAACTTTTAAGTCTGAACTGATTTTATTGAAATTTTAGTTGGCCATGACTCATCCAAGCCATCATTTAAATTTTGGAATGAATCCTGATCACGCCAGGAATTCTTTATCTAACTGTGGAATTCGGCAGCCCAAATACGGAGACAGAAAAGTTCATCACATGCACATGCGTAAGAAAGGTATGTCCGAATGACTCTAAGATTCTTCTTTCATATTTTGGTCTGTGCCACCTGTTGTAAATTGTATCCCCACCAGGAGTGGTTCCTGGTAGACTCTTTTCATCTTTTTACACTATATTATAGCAGGTAGTAATATTGATTTTGAGAACAGCATTGTAACAAAAGGGTGGATGAATTTTTCAGAAGAAAATTTTTCCTGTCAAATATTTTAAATAATCATTTAATGTTAAATTTGGATAAGGTCATTTTCTTTCTATATGTCATATGATGCTCCTAGAGTATTTCTAACAATATTTATTTCTATATTTGTTTTTTTTTTTTAAATAGGAATTAACACCTTAATAAATATTATGTCACGCCTTGGACAAGATGACCCAACTCCTTCAAGGTAAAGTCAATTTTTGAAAAATACATTTATTGGGACCAGCAAGTGGTGTGGTGGTTAAAGGAGCTAGACTCCCACATGGCCAACCACGGCTCAAGTCCCAAACCTGGTGGCTTGCTTTCTCACTCTTACTCTCTCTTTCTGTCTCTCTCACTCTATTCCTCTCTGGGCAAATTAAAAATAAATAAATAAAGTTAAGTGAAATAGAATAATTCTTTAAAAATACACGTTTATTGAGATACAGTTCATATACCATACAGTTTACCCATTTGAAATGATTATTCAAAGGTCTTTAGTATGTTCATAAAATTGGACAACTATGACCATTGTCTTTTTTTTTTTTTTTTTTTAAACACTTTCCATTTTGGCAACATTTTACAATGTACTTAGCTTTAAGTATTGGGAAGGAGAAGGCTAGAAACTAAAGGGGAAAATTTCAGTGGACATTTCTAAAAGAAAAACTGTGCCAGCCTTCCCACTCAAATCAAAATCCAAATTTCTCTTAATTTCACTACCGGAGAAGAGGCCACGTGGAAAACAGCAGGCAAAACTCTGGCAATTTCACTGTGGATCAAGTCCGAGACAAAATTGAAAACATTTTCTCTGTACCTTTTAGTCATCACTCCCCTCAGCCTGCCCTGCCCGAGGCACTCCTCTATTTTCTTTCAGTCTATTTGCCTATTCTGAATATTTTATATAAAAGGAATCATACATAGTTGGTTCTTTGTGACTGACCTGTGTTATTTAGGATGATGTTGCTGAGATTTGTCTATATTATAGAATGTATCAATAATCTTTTTTATTGTCACATAACAGTCTATGATATGGGTGGATCACATTTTATTTACTCATTCATCAATATGAACAAAAGGGTGGATGAATTTTTCAGAAGAAAATTTTTCCTGTCAAATATTTTAAATAATCATTTAATGTTAAATTTGGATAAGGTCATTTTCTTTCTATATGTCATATGATGCTCCTAGAGTATTTCTAACAATATTTATTTCTATATTTGTTTTTTTTTTAAATAGGAATTAACACCTTAATAAATATTATGTCACGCCTTGGACAAGATGACCCAACTCCTTCAAGGTAAAGTCAATTTTTGAAAAATACATTTATTGGGACCAGCAAGTGGTGTGGTGGTTAAAGGAGCTAGACTCCCACATGGCCAACCACGGCTCAAGTCCCAAACCTGGTGGCTTGCTTTCTCACTCTTACTCTCTCTTTCTGTCTCTCTCACTCTATTCCTCTCTGGGCAAATTAAAAATAAATAAATAAAGTTAAGTGAAATAGAATAATTCTTTAAAAATACACGTTTATTGAGATACAGTTCATATACCATACAGTTTACCCATTTGAAATGATTATTCAAAGGTCTTTAGTATGTTCATAAAATTGGACAACTATGACCATTGTCTTTTTTTTTTTTTTTTTTTAAACACTTTCCATTTTGGCAACATTTTACAATGTACTTATCTTTAAGTATTGGGAAGGAGAAGGCTAGAAACTAAAGGGGAAAATTTCAGTGGACATTTCTAAAAGAAAAACTGTGCCAGCCTTCCCACTCAAATCAAAATCCAAATTTCTCTTAATTTCACTACCGGAGAAGAGGCCACGTGGAAAACAGCAGGCAAAACTCTGGCAATTTCACTGTGGATCAAGTCCGAGACAAAATTGAAAACATTTTCTCTGTACCTTTTAGTCATCACTCCCCTCAGCCTGCCCTGCCCGAGGCACTCCTCTATTTTCTTTCAGTCTATTTGCCTATTCTGAATATTTTATATAAAAGGAATCATACATAGTTGGTTCTTTGTGACTGACCTGTGTTATTTAGGATGATGTTGCTGAGATTTGTCTATATTATAGAATGTATCAATAATCTTTTTTATTGTCACATAACAGTCTATGATATGGGTGGATCACATTTTATTTACTCATTCATCAATATGGATTGTTCCTGCTTTTCTGCTTTTCTGCTACTATGAATAATTTTGCTATGAACATTTGTATACAGGTTTTATATGGCCATGTGTTTTGATTTCTGTTGGTTGTATACCTAGGAGTATAATTTCTGGGTATTTTGGTAACTATTTAAACTTTTAAGGAATTATCAGCTATTCTCCAAAATGATTGCACCATTTTATATTCCTCGCAGCAGTATATTAGTGTTCTAATTTCTTTACATCTACTTCTTATTATCTATCTCTGATAGCTCATGATTGAGCATCTTTTCATGTGCTTATTGGTATTTGTATATATTATTGAAGAAATGTTTATTCAGGTCCTTGTCTTGTTTTTAATTTTATTATTATTATTAGTAGTAGTAGTATTACTTTATTAGTTTGCTGTAGGGTACTTGTGCTTGCCAGAGAGAGAAAGAAATCACCCATTTGGGAGAGCATTTTGGATAGGCATGCATGTGCACATGAGCCTGGCATGTTTTTCAAGGCACGGAATTGGTCATGTGGGATCCAGCTGCCTCAACCTCCACACTATCTGCTGGTCCAGGCCCTGTTTTATTACTGGATTATAATCATTTTTATGTATTCCAGGTATAAATCCCTTATCAGATAAATGATTTGCAGAATTTTTTCTCATATGAATTGCCTTTTTACTCTCATTCCTTTTTTCTTTCTTTCTTTCTTTCTTTTTTTTTTTTTTAAATTTTCCAGAGGGCATGTGCGTGCTTGATTGAGACAGAGACAGAGAGAAATTGAGAAAGCATCTCCCATAGGAGATAGTCATACTGCAGTCCCTTCTCTGTTTTTCCCTCCTTTCAGAATTTTGGGTGCATGCACATGCCCACGTGCCTGGCATGGTTTTTAAGCTGCTGGGTCAAGGTCTCAAAGTCTGCAGTAGGCCATGTGGGATCAAGCTGCTTGAACCACCATGCCCACTGACTGTCCCCTTGCTCTCTTGATGATATCCTTTAAAGCACAAATGTTTTCATGGAGACCTGTTTATATATAAATTCTTTTGTTCCTTATGCTTTTAATGTTTTATCAAAGAAAACATTATCTACTCTAATGTCACAGAGATTTAGGAGTTTTATAGTTTATTCCTTATTTTTAGGTCTTTGATCCATTTTGAGTTAATTTTTGCACGGTTCTTTCTTCAGTGAATAATCTCGACACCCTAGTCTTAAATCAATAGACAGTAGGTGCATGTGAAGGTTTATTTTCGGACTCTCAGTTCTATTCAGTTGATCCGTATGTCTGTCCTTATGCCAATATTAACACTGCTTGTGATTGTTGTAGCTGTGTATTAAGTTTGAAATAATGAAATGAGAACTTTGTTCTTATTTTTCAAAATAGTTTTTAGCTATTCTGAGTCTATTGCCTTTCCACATAGATTTCTGGATCAATTTGTCAACTTCTGCAAATAAATCATCTGGGATTTTGATCAGGATTGTATTGATGTCATAGATCAGTTTGGGAATGATTATCTTCTTAAGTCTTCTGACCCATGAATGTAGAATATCTTTCCACTTATTTGTCTTTATTAATCCTTTTATAACTTTCAGAGTATATGTTTTCCATATCTTTTCCTAATTTTGTTCATAAGATTTTATTCTTTTTGATGGCATTATGAATGGGATTATAAATTTCATTTTTGGGTTGTTCATGCCAAGTGTAAATTGGGTCATCAGAAAAGTCATGACACATTTTTGGAAAGAAAAACAGAAAAATGTGTCATGACTCTTCCAACGTCCCAATAGAAATACAGTTGATTGTTGAATGAGCTTGAGTTCTGAAGCCTTGATAATTTTTCTTTTTTTTTGTCAGAGGGCATGTGTACTCACCAGAGAGAGACAAAGTGAGAAAGCACTGCCCATGAGGCATGATATCACACCTCAATTCCTTCTCCATATCTCTCTCCTTTCAAGGTTTTGGGCACATGTGTATTCTTTTCCAATGTGCTTTTCAAGATCCCAAGTGTGAGATTTGAACCTCACAGTTAGCCATGTGGGTTCCAACCACCTCAACCACCATGCCATCAGCTGGCCTTTTGATGATGACATTTATTAATTCTAATAGTTTTTTTTTTTAAGAATTATTTTTTTATTTTAACTTTATTTATTTATGTATTTTAATTTGACCAGAGACAGAGAGAGAGAGAGAAAGTGAAAAAGCAAGGCACCAGGGCTGGGGCTCGAACAGTGTTAGCCACGTGGGAGTCCAGAGCCCTTAACCACCATGCCATCTGCAAGTTAAGATAGTTTTACTTCTTCCTTTCCCATCTATTGGTATCATTTTAATTTCATTCTTCTTTTCTTTTTTCTTTTTTAATGTTTTTTTTTTTTTTTTTTTTTGCTATAGGGCACTTGTGCTTGCTGGAGAGACAGAGAAAGACAGATAGAAAGTGAGAAATCATCCCCCAGGCAAATGGGAGATGAGAAATCATCCCCCCGGGGAATAGCCATGCCTCCGTCCTTTCTCCTCCATTCTTCTTCTCTTGAGATATTTGGGCACACACACACATGAACCTGGCGTGAATTTTAAGCCGCTGGGTCTGGGACTTGAACTGTGGTCAACTACTTGGGGGGTTCAGCGATGTAACTATTGTGTCATCTGCTGGTTCCTAATTTCATTTTCTTAACTTAATTACCCTTGCTAGAGCCTCTTGTACAATACTGCATAAAATGATTGAGAACAGATCTTCATCTTCCTTTTAGAGGGAAAGAATTCATTCTTTCACCATTGAGAATGTGATTATAGGTTTTTTTTTCATAGATACCTTCTATCAGCGTCACGAAGTTTCTCTTCCTGATTTGTTGAGTATATTTGTCATATAAGAATATTGATTTTTGTCACATTGATTTTTCTGTATCTGTTGAGATAAGCATGTTTTTATTTTTTTAAATTCTACTCAGATGGGATATTAAAGTAATTGATTTGGGTGTTAAACCAACCTTGCTTTCCTGAAATAAATTCCACTTGATCTTAGTTTATAATCCTTTCCACATGCTGCTGAATTCAGTTTGGTAGTATTCTGTTGAA